TAACTATCCCTAACTTATAGAAAATTTCAGAAAGAACTCTTTCATAAGGTATGAGGAAAGTAGTTTCCTCCCGAGAAGTCTTTATCATTTCCTTCAAGAAGTTGAAAATGTTAAGAGGAAGATTAACTATCATGTTGTAGGTGAGGAATAACAAGAGATGTTTGTCATACCAAGTAAGTGTTTCCAGGTCTTTTTCTCTTGGACAGAGATTTGCCATTAGAAGTTGAAACCAAAATTTTGCAATTGGTTCCAGAGAAGCAGGATTGGAGAGATTATTTTTGTTGGCATAAATTCGATGAAGGTGGGTTACATAGACACCGTTGAATTCATAATATTCAACACAACTATCAAAGAATTCACAATTTCTTGTCATAGCAATCAATGATGGAGTAATGTATAAATGAGTGGCATTGACATAGGACTGGATGATTTCTTCATGACCAGCTTACAGAACGGAGGCGTTCACCCAGAACTCTTTAACGAGATTAGGTATATGGGGCCGTGTATAATGTTAAAGTAACCATTCAACTTTTGTTTGTCAACAACTTTCCTAAACTTTTGTTTAAAACCTTTGAAATCATTGAAATCAACATACTTTTCGTTGAAAATAGGAAAATACTTTGAAACAACGAGTAGGTAATTAGACATTTAAATATCTCAAAAGCCTCCTTGATAATCCAAAAGAGACGTTTAAATATATCAGAGAATATTAAATATAGTTGATCATTGGTATTCTAGATAAGTGATATAATTTTAATGCATGCGCATCATGTTGGTGTTCTAACATCTGTTTTAATTGAATTTTTTATTTGTAATATAAATGTTTTAAATCGTCGGTTTTTCATAAAAACCGAGGGGCCGTTTAACGTTAACTAAAATTGGAATATCTATTTTAATTGTATTTTTTATTTGTAAATTAAATGTTCTAACCCGTCGATTTTCCTAAAAACCTAGGTAACATTTAGCATTAAAACTGTTATATTTATGAAATCCGTAATCAAATTCTTACTGTCTATTTCATGACTATCCACGCCCAAGACAATATCATTAGTGATCCGCGTGAAACTTAGATGAATTCTATTATAAAAGTATTTTGAATAACAAAAATTAGATGACTATCCTCCACTTTAAGATTTACAAGTGTGTTTGTCATGAAGAATTCTCTATTTAGGTTTAAGGTTTGTGTTCTAAAATATTTATTTTAACATAAAATTATTTATGTATCTAACCCTTTTTTTTTCATATCAGAAACAAATGCAATAAAAAGCAATTGAAAATGTTATGTTTCCCAGAAGGCCCACAACTAAATATTTGGGTGTAAGTTTTGTAAGAGTGTTTGTCATGAATAATTCTCTATGATGGATTGCAAGAGTAGAAAATTATTTGGGGGTAAGGTTTGTGTTGTTAAGAATTTACTTGAGCAGAAAATTATCTAACCCTTTTTTTGTCTAACCCTTTTTTATGTTCATATCAGAAACAAATGCAAGCAAAATCCATAGAGAATACCTTTTTTTTATTGGTTGAAAAGTATTTCTCATGCATTTGATCTTGCCCAGAATATCAAGGAATTAGAGATCCAACATATGATCTTCATGGACAATTAATTTTTTTCTGTGTATAAAAAATGTAATATTCTGGATAAATATTATAGTTTGTAAACAAATTATTTTATTAATATTCTGTGTAAACAATGTAACGAGTTTTATTAAAAAAAAAACAAATAACTCCTCAGTTTTCTTAATAAACCGAGATAAAAAAATGCGCTACTTTTGTCAATAATAAAAGTGCTAAAGCTGGAGTTCGAACTCATGCGCTAATAAAATTAGACCTCGGTGTTTTAAACACCGAGGTGATAAGTCTTTACTTTTTATGACGATGTTATTTACCTCACTTCTAATGTGGAGGTAAAACGCATTTCGCGTCTGACGTTAGATACGTTATTTGTAGTGTTGCATGTATCTTCATAACCTAAGTCATTAGAATCTTACAGAGCTTGTCTAGAGAACTCTTGCATTCTCAGTCTTCAACACTTGGTATTCAAAAGAATGTCTTCAGATCTTCAGAACTTGTTCAGTAGAACCTTGTCTTCAGCATCTTAAGAACTTGAAACAACATAAGTAAAGCTTTAGAAGGCCTCCAAAGCTTCCTTGAATAAGTCACAATCAGAAGTTCTTTTACCAACGTTCCTTATAACTGTTGCATAAGACACATTCCTTAATCTTGACTTAACTTGTAACACACCAATGATATTCTTCTAGAGTGTTGAGTTTAAAACATGATGACGTCAACACCTTCTTACCAGAGTCAGAACCTGTATAGCAAAAGTCATACACTAGACAGAAACATGTTAGAGTACATAATTGTTCTCAAAGATAACATGTAAAGTTATCATCAAAACATAAGCCATATTTAGAAGCAATTTTGTTCTTACATACACAACCCTGACTTTTAATCAGTCCCTCCAGATCCATGTATGACATGAAATCAAAATCCCACTTCCAATCCATTTTAATTATCTCGCCACCAATATACAACTTAATAGGTTCAATTACAAATCTACCCCTACAGTGGAATCTTAATCTAACTTTAGTCTCCTGACTTGGCCTGAGAATTAACAATATTCAAATACAATTTTAATAAGTTAATCCAGAGACAACAAACAAAGAAATATGGTGGACACAAACAACACAAAAGAAAAACGATTTTAATAACTTAGACCACAAATAAACACAAAGAAACACCATGGATCACAAACAACACAAAAAAATATGGTGAACCACACAAAATAATATATAACAATTGTGAATCGATCATCGATAAACACGTTCTAAATGAGACAAAAAAACATACCCTAAACACTTGTCAGTTAATCAACTTCAAACAATAATATTAATTATCAAATTCAACAATAATATTAAAAACAATACAAAACTTCTTCCTCAATAATACATATCAATCACATTTAAAAACTACTAACCGATATATGAATTATCAAGTTCAACAATAATATTAACACATTCCTAAATACATTCTTATATACGATCAATCTGTAAGACAAGTTGTGTAATTATTTATAAGCACTTTTTTAAGTATATTTCTTTTTCAACATGAAATCTAAGTTATTTTCCTAATGTAAGTTTATAATTGGAATCTCTGTATATCCGTGCTATCTTTATTAGACACAACACAATTTTAGGCACTTCTTTAGCCATTGGTCAAACTCACCAAACATGGTATCATACCACTTGCTCCATCTATACAAAATTCTTACATAGAACAAAATTATGATTCATATCATGTTACATAAGTTAAACTATCATTATCCCCATTATTTGGCTTAGAGTATTGCAGCCTGCAGATTTCCTAAAATCCAGTTAAGCATTTTTTTCTCTATATAAAATTAAAGTAGTTAGATAAATAAATTGTAAAGCTTAAAATATAAGTTATACTTCAATGTACCAATATTATATATGCTAATAAAACTGCATCAAGCATGTTCACATGTTAGCTGATCTTCACTATGAATATCTTATAATTAATTATAGGATTCTCATATCTAATTATCTATGTTCGGTATTTTATTAAGTTATTAGGTCCTTCTGTTCTGAGGTAGTTACAATTGCCAGTTGAATGGTATACACAAGAGACCATGTTAAACATGGGCTTTGTTTTGTTGTTGAATAGGAAACATGACCATATGAATAGAGAAAATAACATGTTAAGAAATAGATTAATAAAAAGTTTGTCTTGAAAAAATATAATAAAAATATTAATTATAAACTTTTAATAAAAATATTACATAATTTTCAATTAAATTTTTTTATATTTAACTTTTAAAATGTATCTTTAGAACACGTATTAGCAAACTCTTATTATCTGCTAAATTTGTTTTCGTTGCATTTTTTTTAAAAGTCTCTATAAATTCTTAAGGCGTATATCATAGAAACATATATAATAAATACTATTTTATTATGGATTTTTATACACACATATTCTATCAAGTGTTTGATGAACACATAATAAAAATATAATAATCACTACTACGAAAATGGGCTTTCACAACGCTTTTTTTTGCCCTTTAAAAGCGCTTAAAAGCGCTGCCGTAGCCAGCGCTGGCGTAGGCTACGAAAGCGCTTTTTTCTGACCAAAAGCGCTGTCGTAGGTGGACCTATCCCAGCGCTTTTTCCTTAAAAAGTGCTTTGATAGGGGGGTCTTTCCCAGCGCTTTTTGAAAAGCGCTTTGATAGGTGTGCTATTTAAATTTTTTTTTTTTTATTTATCAGGCCTTTTACAGCGCTTTTTATGGAAAAAGCGCTTTGATAGGGGGGTCTTTCCCAGCGTTTTTTCCATAAAAAGCGCTTTGATAGGGGGTTTCTATTTAAATTTTTTTTTTATTTATCATGGCTTTTACAGCGCTTTATGGAAAAAGCGCTTTGATAGGGGGGTCTTTCACAGCGCTTTTTCCATAAAAAGCGCTTTGATAGGGGGTTTCTATTTAATTTTTTTTTTATTTATCCTGCCTACGAAAGCGCTTTTTAGCCAAAAGCGCTTTCGTAGCTCATACAAATTTTTTAAAGTGAAACCTATAATTTGAGGTTCCCTGTGCGGCCTGTAATTTTTTTTTGGTCCAATAATTTAACCTGTAATTCAATCCTTATAATATTCACAGAAACCGGTATTATATTAACAGAAACCGGTATACCATATAATATTCACTCCTTATCTATATATATGTAACTAAATCATATATAACTAAATTTGTAACCATATATACATTTGTAACCATAACTAAATCACATACAAAGTATCGTGTTAATTTGTAACCATATATATATACATATGTAACTAAATCATATATAATTACATCGAAAATAATGCTCCACCGACACGGTCGTCATCCTGCAAAGTATGAATATGAACAACACGGTAAATTAAACAAACAATATTAAAGGCTCCAACACAATCAAACTAACACGTACAATAATATTTTATTCATACCCATCAGAATAATCTGTTTTCAACATAAAATTGACATATTTCCTCTTTGACTTCTTCCACTTGAACTTTCGTGTACGACATAGTATAGAGGTCATCAAAGTACTACATAAGAAATTATTACTTCAGTATATGCATGATGTTATTAAATGTAGAAATCATACAAAATTATTCTAAGTTATAAATCCATACCGTGCTTGGAATCTCTACTTGATTTTTATGAAGGATTTCTTTCATAAACCTCAAGCAAAAGTATTCGCAATCTACATCGTTATTCTGTAACAGACACTGCATAGAAAAACAGAATATATTTTATAGTTGTCGTGTAATTTTATCAAGTAACATTATTATTATAAGCAACTAATTTTGTACCTGCACTTTGATCCAAGTAATATTTGATGATTTACTCCGGGGTACCTGTGCGTCCCTTTGACTACGAAATATTTGTATTGATCTAAGAAAATAAAAACATATATTTAGATCAATCTCACAGAAATAATTAAATATATAAATATACACGAATAGTTAGAACGATCTCACTTACTGATCAACAGTTTCCTTCATAGCGGGATAGTTAGTCCATTCCCCGTCTACCGAATTCAGAAAGTACACAACTTCTTTAATCGGATCGATAGCCAACAACAACCAGTGTTTTCTAAAAATTTAAGCAACAGTTTAGAAGAAAAGTTTCTACGCAAAATAAACAAAGATATATTAGAATAAATGAAAAACTCACCCCACGGGAACAGTGTTATACGGCAAAATAAACAAGCTATCTGGGTTGCCGACGTAGGCCGTGTATCGATTCACTAAGTACTCCCTAACTGAACCCGGTTCCCTGACAATTGTCGCTCCGCTGACAATATGGGCAGACAAGAAATGGAAGCGTCTTGCCAATATAGTCTCGCGCATTCCTTTCGTCACGGGTGCCAATTCAGTTCTAATTCCCATGTTTAACATGTCCTTCCTTATGTTAATGCCATCCTTATACTTTCCTTGTATATTGAGTAACGTACCAATAACACTATCAAATACATTTTTTTCAATATGCATAACATCGAGGAAATGTCTTACGTACAACGACTTCCAATATGGAAGTTCAAAAAAAATCGACCTCTTCTTCCACCCACTCGTGACAAGTCTATGTGCAAAAGGCTTGCCAAACTCAGTACTCACATCTTTCACCTTTTCAAAAATCTGATCACCTGTCAACATATGTGGAGCTCTACCGTGTTCTGCCTCTCCATTGAATGCCTTTCTCCACCCACGATAGTGATGATTAGAATTTAAGAATCTACGATGACCGAGAAAAACATTCTTCTGACAAAAGTTCAATCGCATCGTATCGGTTTCATCTTCACAAACAGGACACGCTTTTTGACCCTTAATGTTGTACCCTGATAGATTTCCGTACGCCGGAAAATCATTAATTGTTCCAAACAACATCGCCCTCAAGTTGAAACTTTCTTTCCTATACCCATCGTAAACCTCCACACCGGTCTCCCACAAAAACTTCAAATCTTCGACTAAGGGTGCCAAGTACACGTCTATGTCATTCCCTGGTTGTTTGGGCCCAGAAATTAACATAGATAGCATCATGTACTTACGCTTCATACATAGCCACGGAGGTAGGTTATATATCATAAGAATCACAGGCCAGGTGCTATGCGAGATACTTTGAATACCATGCGGGTTCATTCCATCAGTAGACAACGACAAGCGAAGATTTCTTGCTTCTTTTCCAAATTCAGGATAATCAATATCAACTTTCGTCCACTGTGGTGAGTCTGCCGGATGTCGCAACTTCCCATCAATAATTCTTTCATCTGCATGCCAAGTCAAGTGTCTTGAATTGGTCTCACTACGATACATGCGCCTAAATCTCGGAATTATAGGAAAATACCATAACACCTTTTCCGGAGACAACTTTTCCTTATATCGAGGGGCACCGCATTTAGGACACTCATTTAACATTGCGTACTTGTTTCGAAATAAAACGCAATCTTTTGGACATGCATGTATCTTTTCATAGCTCATGCCAATAGAGGACAACATCTTTTTGGCCTCATACGTTCGATTGGGAAGAACATTATCCTCTGGTAGCATTTCTTTCACGAGGGCTAATAACTGTGTGAAACTTTTATCCGACCATCCGTTGTCCGCCTTTAAGTTGTACAACTTTAACACCGCAGACAATCTTGTGAATTTTGTACAACCATCATACAACGGTTTCTCTGCATCGCTTACCAACCTCTCGAACATTTTGGGACAATCCTCAAGATCTTCTTCAAGCGCTTCTGCAATCTCTTCGACTCGATCATAATCGTATGCGTCTGCGAAATCCTCATTTGAAGCATACGTCGTATTATAACTCGATTCAACATTCCCGCTACTTTTCTCACCATGCAAATTCCAACATGCATAACTTCTATCAATTCCATGCATCAGTAAATGCGATTCCAACTGAACCGCGTCAACCCGTCTCCCATAACAGCATCTCAAGCAAGGACATATCATTCCATTGGGTTCTCTGGCGTGCGCAACGGCAAACTTAACGAATTCTGATACCCCATCCTCATACTCTTTCGACAATCGATTGGCAGTCATCCATTTTTTATCCATGGTTTGACTATAGCAACTAATTAGTCACGCAACTATAGCAAAATAATAATTAATTACCTGTAAAGAAATTCAACATATCAGGTAATCAAATTCATAGTTATTCTTGCCTCACCTTAAGCATGTGCTAAACAACTCATAACTAATTACTAACTAGTGAAGTCGGATATAAACAAAAACACAACCGCAGCTCATGAATTCCACTCAACTATAATCATTAGAAATTCACACTGAGCCGGAAAATAAAAGTAAAAACAATCAGTTATTCAAGTCAGTTCAAGAATAGGATAGAAACCTTTGAAAATGTTGAGAGCGTCCCGCGTACACTACGATCAAGGACAGTTCGAATTTCTTCAATCGGAGAAAGTTTCACAGCTTTTTCCTACCACAATCGATATTAAATCGTTGAACTATCCGCTGCATGATTTGAATGTAAACAACATGTTAAACTTAGGAGTAACTAAAAACAAAACATTTTCATTGACAATATAGATCACATTCCCTTATTTGTTTCCACCATACTAGTGAAGCAAATGACGAATGGCAGCAACGCAAGGTTCTTTCAGCCACCTTTTTGTCCAACTGTTGTATAAGAAAAGTATGTTAATTAATTGGAATGTAAGCTTACTAGATAGATTTCTGTACATGTTGAAGAAGTTACCTCTAGTTCGTTTGCAATTATATCAACATCTGCTGCATTTATCTTAACAGCAGCTAATTCTTTCTCCCTGTGATTCAATCAAAATTCATACTAAGGTTCAGAGAGAGAAGAAAACAAAAATTCGTAGCCAAAACGTCACATTTCATTCATTACATATATACAAAAATGTGTAGTGCATATTGGATAAGACTTCATATAAATTGTGAATATGAGTATAATGCACAAACCTAGGTTTTGTACTAGCTTACAAGGTTTGGCTCTCATCGTTTTCAAGTTGTTGTGTCCTTTAGTTAAGGAAATGAGTGAATGAATATTAAGGTATAATTGAATATTGTAGGGGATGGTTTTGTTTTCAAGTCCATATCATAAGTCGTAAACTAGCTAGAATGCATATGTTGATGTTATAAGCGGAGAATAACCTTATCAATTTTTTAGGACAATAAAATCAGACTCCGATAGTTTAAGAACTCTATATTCACACATTTATAATATCAACATTCTTCAGACCACGATTTTATAATTCATATAAATACATGTTTTATTTTATAATTATGCATTATTTAATCTTAATCGAACAACCACTAATTTTACTATTATGTTAAAACGGACAATACCTAATTTTTGAGGTAAATGTTTAAAATAACAAAGGCAATTATATTAACCTAACACTTGAATAATTTCTATAAAGCTAACCATAAAGTTTAAAATGTCACCAGAATCAATCCCCTATCACATGTTCCATTTAAACCTTTATCTCCACATAAAACAAGGATTTCAACAAATGATGCTTTCATATAAGAAAACCAACACAATATTCCAAAGTAAAAAAGAAAAAATCTAAAGCACTGCATTATCAAACTTTACTATAGTAAAGAACCTAATGAAGTAACAGGTAAGATATTCTATTACTTAATCTTACCTAACTTGGTTAAACACTAACAAATTGAATTAAAAATATTAATGTGTATATAATCGATCATTTGTGACTAAAAATAGCATTCATGTTGCCATTATAATACACACGAAACACACATGAAAGAGTGTGAGAAACAAAAACAAAGAAGTGAGAACAAAACTTTAGAAAAGGGTGTTTTTTGATTTCTTCGGTGAACCAACCCATTGTGGTCCCAATTTCTTCTGTGAAGTTGCAATCAACTCTTTAGGTACAAGACTAGAGATCTCAAATTTGGTCCAACCAAATATCTTTGATAAAGAAATTTGGGTCCTTGGAAACTTTAAACACTTTATAATTTTTAAGAATTGTGATAAATTTATGGTAGTGAAAATTATTTTTGAATAGATTGTTCAATTCATTTATAGGCGTATATAGTAAAATATCAATTAAAACAAAATTATTTTTATGTGATTTAAGATACGTTTGGATAAACAATTTATTTACCATTTATAGCATAAATATTTATCGAGATAAGTTTATAGCGCAAATGCTTATAAAATACTAAGCCTTAGAAGCTTGAAACTTTTTACATTAAAATCACATAGTACTAACACCCTTCCAACAAAATTTGCAGTTTCACTATTACTACACTATTATTCCTTTGCCATAAGCTAAAGGACAGAACCACACTTCACTACAAATCAGACAATTCAAAACAATTCAATTCCATTTTTTTCATCCATGTTCCTTTTTCACAATCACAAGATTTAATGAAATCCGTACAAGAATCACATTATAGTGATTTTGTCCATTAACTATCTCTTCCTATTAATGTATCCTCATTTTTTTTCACATTGATTTTTTAACTGTTCTTGGATGGACCAGAAGAATTAAATGTTGTTATCTTCTTCTTTTTTTTTGAGTACTTGAGCATTTATGATTAAACCTAATAGAGTTCACTAACTCATTACAACATTAAACACATGCATATTGATTTACACTATATTGATTCAGAATCTTACCAAGGTGGAGAAGACGGAATGACCGGCGGCGGCGACGACTGAAGAGGAAGGAACGAACGGCGGCGACGACGACTGAAGAGGAAGGAACGAACGGCGGCGACGGCAGAAATGAGGAAGCTTAAGACGAACGAAGAAATGAAGAAGATCTGAACGAAAGAAATGAAGAAGACTAAAGAACAGATTTAGGGATTTTTAATTTTATTATAAAAACAACCTACGAAAGCGCTTTTAAAAAGCGCTGGCATAGGGTTCCCTATAAGAGCGCTTCTGAGGTAAAAAGCGCTTTCGTAGGTCCCCCTTTCAAAGCGCTTTTCAAAAGCGCTGGCATAGGGTTCCCTATAAGAGCGCTTTTCAAAAGCGCTTTCGTAGGTTAGATATTTCAAATACCTATGAAAGCGCTTTCTGAAAAGCGCTTTCGTAGGGAACCCTATGCCAGCGCTTTTAAAAAAGCGCCTTCGTAGGTTTCCCTTTTTTTTAATTTTGTTTTTTGTGAAGGCTATGGCAGCGCTTTTTCAATAAGCGCTTTAGTAGAGGCGCTGCAAAAAGCAGTTTTTGGCGTAGTGAATTTTTTATTTATTTTATGTATTCTATATATAAATAATAATTATATGATAAAACATATTAAAATAAAATCATAAAATTATTATTATATATATATATATATATATATATATATATATATATATATATATATATATATATATATATATATATATATATATATATATATATATATATATATATATATATATATATATATATATATATATATATATATATATATATATATATATATATATATATATATATATATATATATATATATATATATATATATATATATATATATATATATATATATATATATATATATATATAATGAAAAAATATATATTATATGTTAATGAAAATATTATCATCAAAGAAAAATAATATTTAATTTTAAAATATTTAAATTTTTATTAACTTTTTTTACATTTTTAATTATCACTTTATTTTAAAATATTTTAATTTCAACATACTAGTTATTAATTATTATTTTTTTATGGTGGGTAAGATAACTCAATTGATATTTATTAGTTTGGCTAAATGAATGTGTGTTATTGGTCCAGATTTAACCATTGGCAACATTATTTTGTCAAATATAATGGAGAGAATGTAGTTAACATAGTTGATAGAATCAAAACTGAAAAATAACTAACTCCAAATTAGTTATCAAGTTGTTAATAGTTAGCTATAGTTGCTTGCCATATAAACAACCTCATACTCATGTACTAATTTGAGATTTGAGTAATAAAATTCTATTTAGCACTTTTCTTTGATTGTTTTCAATGAGTTTCAATGGTTCAACTTGAGTTTTAACATGATATCATCGATTTGTGATCAAGTATTTCTTTCATCACTGTGATATGCTTCTCAATCTCTGAGTCTCACTCATCTTTGTCCTTTTGATTCTTTCTTCTTTATTGTGCTCATCATGTCTGTTGCAAGCTCTGCAAACATCATCAATGATAGATCTTCATCTCACGCTAATGAAACAGCTTATCAAACTGAAACTCTCAATCCATATTTCATGCATCCTAATGAAAATCTATCTTTAGTTCTTGTTTCTCCCTTACTCTCAAGAAACAATTAACATTCTTGGTCGCGTTCCATGACTATGACACTAAGATCCAAGAACAAAGTCCACTTCATCAATGGTAGTTTTCCTCGACCAGCATATCATGATCACAATTTAGTTGCTTAGGTCCGGTGCCACATCATGATTATGTCATGGATAAAAAATTGGGCAGAATCAAAGATAGCACAAAGCTTTTTGTGGACGGTTAATGCTTCTTAATTATTAATGGATCCTCTCCCCAATATTTGCAGAGTTTATTCCTTACTTGTCCAACAAGAAAGACAAGCCATTAATCCCCTTGATTAATTAAAAGTGTTGGCTCTACATAATCCCAACCAAAATCATAATTTTCACTTTAAACCTAATTCCAATTCTCGTGGTAGAGGTACTACTAGAGGTGGTAGGTCCTTTGGTGGTAGAGGTCGAGGAAGTCGAGTTTTCACTCAATATGGCATGGCCAATCACACTGTCGATTCTTGCTTCAAAAATCATGTTTACCCTTCACATTGGAAGCAAGATAGTGCAATTAACCAATATGCAGTCATGAAAGATAAAATTGAGGAGAATCAAGATGAGTTCAATGAAGAAAATGAGCAAGATTCTAATGCTTTAGCCTTTACACCAAATCAACAGAAAACATTTTTAGCTCTCCTTCAATGAACATCTCACTCATGCTACAGTTGAGAGATACAAGGCGCATTTGGTTGCAAAAGGTTTTACATAAACTGTAGGATTGGATTACATGGACACTTTCAGTCTTGTAGTAAAAACGACTACAATCAGAGTTCTTTTGGCCATTGCAGTAGTTCAAAATTTTCCAATTTTTCAACTTGATCTCAACACAAATTTTCTTCATGGACATCGCAATGAAGAGGTCTACATGAAAGCCCCTCCAGTTCTTTACTTACCTCGACCTGATCTTGTCTACAAATTAAAAAGACCAGTATATGGTTTGAAGCAAGCAAGCAGACAATGGAATACAAACTCACTGATACTCTCACTTCTTTAGGATAAACTCAATCAAAAGTTGATCATTCACTTTTCACTAAGAATTATTCCCAAGGATTCACAGTCATTCTTTTTTATGTGGATGACTTGGTCTTAGGAGGAACTAGCCTTGGACAAATTAACCAACTTAAAGCTCTCGTGGGTGCCAAGTTCAGCATAAAAGTCTTAGGAGTATTAGAATACTTCCTATGATTTGAAGAGGCTCAAACTTCAAATGGAATTTCTCTTTGCCAAAGAAAATGTGCTTTAGATTTGATTCTTAGTGTAAGCCTCATTGGAGCCAAACCTTGTAATACACCAACGAAACCTCATCTTCAACCTCACAAAACATATGGTGTATCTCTTTCAGATCCTATTGCATATAGATGACTTATTTGCCAATTATTTAAACTCACTCACACCATACTTGGGATTTCTTATGTAATAAGAAAATTCAGTCAATTCCTTGATGCTACCACTAATAAACATATACTAGTTGGCCTACATGCGATAAGATACCCACAAAAATAATTCTGATCAAGGATTATTCTTCAGTTCATCATCCATATTGTGACTCAAGGGTTATTCTAATTCTAACCAGGGGGATTTTCCTGATACACGCAGATCAACCATAGGTATTTGTATCTTCTTTGGCAAATCCCTCATTAGCAAGAAAAGTAAGAAACAAGTTGTTGTCTTTGGATATTCCTTAGAGGAAGAGCATATAACCTTAGCGCAAACAACTTGTGGAGATTTTTGGCTTCTCTATCTACTCCACACTTTTCAAATTTCCCATAAAATATCTATCATAATTTATTGTAACAATAAATTTGTTGTTCACATAGCTTCAAATCCACTTTTCCACGAGAGAACTAAACACATAGAAATTGATTATCACATGGTAAGAGATAAGGAACTAGATGGTATAGTTCATCTCATGCTTGTCACATCAAATGAACGAGTTACTGATTTACTCTGTAAATCATTACACGTGGGTCCATTCAACATCCTTCAAGCCAAGTTAGCAATGATTTGAAATTTTCTGGTACATGCAACACATGTTAATACTGATATCCGAACATTAGAAGAATGTCAAGGAAGATGTTACAACATCCGATTTTACATCCTGAACAAATTTATCAAGATGCAAGTGATACTAAAATTAAATTGCAGAATGATAAATAACACGTAGAGTTGTTGAAGGTGTGAAAAATACAAGAAAAGGGGGGGGGTGAATTGGGTTTTTTAAAACAAAAACTTTTCTTTAAAAATATTCCCCTTTAAGTTAAAATCCTTTTTTCCTTCACTCTTGATAATAACAATAAATAAGAACAAGAAGTAAAGAACAATGTATGTTTATACTAGTTCATTAGAAAATTATCAAGCTAGTCTAGTCCACCTGCCAAGGTGATTTCGCCTCACTCAATCGAGGACTTAAATCACTATAAAAAAACTGATTACAATTTTCACAAGCTACCCGCAAGTGACTTACAACCTTTAAGACTCGCAAGTTCTACACTTCTTAAGGATACACACCTAACCGGTCCCTTAAGGAATATCAAACAATAATCAACCTGATTATTACAATGCACAAGCTACCCGCAAGTGACTAACAACCTCTAAAACTTGCAAGTCATAGACTTCTCAAGGATACATACCTACCCGGTCCCTTAAGGAAAATCAAATAAATGTTTAAATACAAGTTTTGTTTACAAGAGTATTGCTTCTACACAAGCTGAATATGTAAACTATTTTAAGAACAATGACTTAAAAATATGAAAGTTATAAACAATGTTTACGCATGAATATTTCGTTGATTGGAAAATTTCTCTCTTAGTCTTCAAACCTTTATATAGCCAATAAAATGATATATCAGTTGAGGGGTACTCTTGGGATTTCCAGAAACATTGGCATCTTCAACAGTAACATGGGGGACAAGATTGTGCGACGCATCCATCCTTTCATGGAAGTGGAATGAAACGTTGATTGTACCATGTAATATTTGTACCACGTTAACAGTATTTTCTTTCCTTATGCACTTCAGAGGCTTCTGTGAGCATGAGTTTAGAAGTGAGAATATAACACAAGGTCATTAGAACTTCAAGTCTTCAGAGTCTTCAAAACTGCGTCTTCAGAGTCTTCAGCACTTGGTCGTGAGAACCTTTTCTTAGAGCCTTGGGTCTTTAGAACTTCAAATATTTAGAATCTTTAGAACTTCTGTCTTTAGAGTCTTTAGCACTTGGTCTTTAGAACCCTTATCTTTAGAACCTTGGGTTTTTAGAAACTTTAGTCTTTAGCATCTGGACTTTGAGTAGAAACTTCTGTCTTTAGATCTTCTGACTGTATCTTTAGAACCTGTTGTCTTCAGAAACATGAGTGTTATAACCCAAAATTTTCCCTCTCATTTTACTCAATACATACTCCTAAAGATCCTCAATTTGCTCAAGTTTTCCCAAGAGTTGACCAGACAAACTCTCTCCTAAGGCAGTATACCTCCAATTAGGGTTTCCATTTTCATCAAGATAGGTGAACTACAAAGACCTCAAATGCTTTCCATGGTCCTAATATGTTCCTAAGATCATCCATGTCAAGTTTCATGCCTTGCACAAAAAGTTTGCTCAGTCAACTGCTCAAATGCTTGAGAATCGACTATATTAGGTCAAAAGTCAATTGTGACCCACATATAGTCAAACCTCAATATTTTTGGCCAACATCAACATTTTGAAGTGACTTTCATCATTTGATCAAGGGTTGATCATGATTCTTCAAGGAATGCCCCAAATTTATCAAAACCCATAAGTTGCTAAATTAGGGTTCCTTAGGAAAAGTCAACCAAACTTTGACCAAGCATAACTTCCCCATACTTTATCAGAAATTTTCCATCCAAGGCTCATTTTGAAGAGGATGCAAATCTATACAATTCATCTTCAGCCCACAAGTTCAAAATATAAACTCATAAAAAGATATGAATTTCTACATTATAGGTCCTTTTAAAAAAGTCAACAAAAAACACCTTTTGGGTCAAAGCTTCTTACATGAACATGGAAGACCCAATTAAAATGAGACCAAAAGGGTTGCTTAGGGGACATCCTAAGATTTCTAAAAAGTCAAAGAATACCTCTCTAGGGTTAAAATTGGAGGAGACATGCCTTGTCAAAGTTGACCTTTTTTGCAAAATTGCCAAAAGTCAAATATGCTCAAAAGTGCATTTTTTACCAAATGGGCTTAGCATTTCATGATTGAACCTCACTTGTAGCATGGTCCACGACCCAAATGTTCACTCACATGTTATTTGCTTCATTATTTATTTTATTTTGATTTTTTATTTATTAAAAATTGAATAAAATCAAATAATTGGTAAATAATATCAAAGATATGTTTTGATATGATTTTTGGACAGGATATTAATCAAATTATGTTGAGATATCAAGGCCAAATCGAATCAAGCATGATTGGTACAAAAATGGGATGATTTGGCTAAATATAGAAGGTTTGTATATGGATGAAAAATCAAATCAAATCTTCCAAAATTCCAAAGATATCATCTGTTTTTGCAACCCTAATTCGCTCTAGCATATATAATGAACAACAACCAAGGATAAAACAAGGGTTGGCAGGTGTGAAAAGGAAGAACAAACTTCCAATTTTTCAAAGAAAAGTGCAGATCCAATCTTGCTCCATAGGCCGTTTCAAGCGTTTCTAAAGATCAAGTCATATCCCTAGGCACTCACTGAACCTGTAGCAAGCATTTGCAAGGCCTGAAGCATCCAAAATCGCACGCTACAACTCATACGGTTTGCATATTTTTTTCAAAATCGATTAATGTAATTCTTGCATTGTTAGCACATTTGATTGAAATATTTGTGATCATTGACATGTTTGCAAGCTTACTGAATGGTTTGATTAAACTTTTGACGCATATATGTGCCTTTTCCATTGTTAGGGTTTTCGTGTGCATTTTAGGGGTTTATCCTACAAGTTAAATTGGGCCAGGAGAAGGGTACCATGATGTTCACGAGATCAAAATGAATTGAGCTATATACTTAGAAATCATTTATCGTTTGTTTTGGGAATTTTGAAAGTTGCAGGGGCTATGGCTACAGGCGTTGTTTGTGGGTATAGAGGGGATGTCTAAGACGACAGAGCCTTGGAGAAGAAGAATAGGTGGCAAGCCATCACTGGCCAGTTTGAATCTGGCGCGCGCATTTTAAAATTCTGGACATTAATTTTGTTTTTCTATATTATATTAATATGCCACTATTTGTACAACTAACGCATGTATCGCAGACAGCAAGTGTATACGCTGGGTAGTGGGAGGACCTGGGTTCGATCCCAGGTCCAGGAAATTTTGGCTATTTTTCTAACGTTCCAACGCAGGATTTAATGCACCTCATACCTAGGTGTCAACCTTGTATCCTCCAGATCTGGCCATTAGATATAGTCTCAAGGGAGATCCAACGCTCACATAGGTGCAGAGCATGATGGACCCTCAAGAGATGATCCCA